TTACCCATGTGTCCTATTATTCTATCGTCTGTTCATGGGTCTCAGAAAATACATAAGTTGATAAAGTTTATTTCATGATATTAATCAAAGGCATAATGACCTTATGACATTCCGAGAGATCTTATTGATGTACTTCCCATGCATTGCATTCATTTATACATGTACATTGATCCATGACCAGATGGATATATATATATATATATATATATGGGGTATGGGGAAAGGTTATGGCGTTATATACGCATCACCACCTGATTAGCTGGTAGATGTTGATGATTTTGCCCACAGTGGCCGAGATGATATGATGGATGCCCTCAGAGGCTTGATGATGTTATGTACGCATATACCTATGTATGGTATGACATTCATACACATATGCATGACATTATAAATGTTTCATGATTCACAGAGCTATTCATACTTATAGGTTATTCCTTTACTCCATGTTTTTTTTATGTCTTTTATGTACTGATTTTCATGCCTTACATACTCGATACACTATTCATATTGACGCCCCTATTTTTTGGGGCCTGCGTTTCATGCCCGCGGGTGCAGGTAGACAGACTGATGGTCCCCCTTTTTAGGATCCTTGATCAGCAAGAGTTGGTGTGCTCCACTTGATCCGGAGTTGTTATTAGCTTTGGTACGCTATTTTTGTATATAGATATGGATACAACGGGGCCTAGTCCCGTCCTTTATATAGTTGTACACTCTATTAGAGGTTGTAGATGTAAAGTTGGATAGTATGTGGCGTTATCGTCTTCCAGTTTTGGATATATAGTTGTCTATAGCAGCCTTGTCGGCTCGCCCTACCATTTTCCGCATGTATATGTATACATGTCTTTTGGACATGTTTTCCTCATGTATGTTATTCACGTGATTCAGCAGTTTATTGACAGATGTTATTCATGACCTACCTTTAATTCATGTTTATATCTTAGACGCATGCTTAAGGGTGTTCGACAGATAGGACTCGGACACTCGTCATGGCCCATTGGTTTGGGCCGTGACAATAAGAGGTTTGATGAATGATCCCATGAGAGTTCATAAACGGGTGAAATGGAGAAGACAAATACTATGGACATTATCAATACAAAATGTGCAGACAAAAACCCCCAAATTGATTTTGGATTCAGCGTAGAAGGTTTGAAAAATAAAAAACAATTCACATTGATTTTTCATCTATAATATCCAAGTGTGTCTGGAATATTCATCAATGAAACTGACAAAGTAGCAGAATTCCAAGGTAGAACCAACCCGACTAGGGCCTCATACATCTGAATGGACTAAAGTGAAAGGTAACTCTGCTCGATTATCATGACGCCGAGGGAAATGGCGACGAGTATGCTTATCGAGCTGATATGACTCACACTCTATAGTGGGCAAGTGAGACAAACTAGGTACCATTTTTCGAAATTTTGATAAAGTGGGATGTCCCAACCATTTATGTAATAAATTTGGTGAATAAGTAACAGAACAAGTTGTAGATGTGGGTTCATGTGATTTGGCAAGGATAAGGTAATAAAGTCCATTTAATTCAGTCCCAGTACCAATAATCTTCCATGTACTGCGTTCTTGATAAAATTAGGTCATCAAGAAATAAAATAGAACATTTAAGTAATTTGGCTAAGCGACTAACGGCTATAAGATTAAAAGGATTACCATGAACATAAAGAACTGAATTCAAAGGTAAAGAAGGAAGTGGACTTGCTTGACCTATTTCAGTTGCCACGTTTGAGACCCATTGTCCATTATGACCATTGGAAGAGATTGAGAATAGGAAATAATAGTGAAGGTAGATTTATTACCAGAAATATGATCAGACGCTCCTGAATCAAGAACCCAATTAATGGAGAAGAATATTGAGAGACACAAGTAACGTTATTACGTGTTTGAACTATAGTAGCAATCTCAGAAAATGTCGGTTTACATGCTTTGTACTAGGGGTGTACATAGACCGGGTTGGTTCGGATTTTACAATTACCAAACCAAACCAATTGTGTCGGGTTATTAAATCTAAAGACCAAACCAAACCAATAAAATTTGGGCTTTTCAATCTCGGTTTTTCTCGGGTTTTCGGGATTTTCGGGGTTTTTCTCCGGTAAAATCTTCATAGAACAAAAGATATAACGTATGCTCAAAATATTTCTTTAATCCTAGTAAGATACAATTATATAAAGTATTTTCCAAGAAAATAATACAAAATATGAGACGTGTCATGGCATTATCCTAAATTATTCAACAATATAGACAATAAAATTATGTAATATAAATATTGCTAATTAGAAAGACATAATAAAAATAAACACAATCTAAAAGTACTAAGTCATGCTAAAATAAATAGACTAATAAGGGAGTATTAATTACATGACTAAACGCTAAAGAAAAATAAAAATAGGTTATGCATTTTTATCTAAATTATTGCAAAGAAAAAATAGATATTTAATACATTCCCGTTCGTAATATTGAATTTAATGTCTTTTGTTAGTATTAGTATTGATTTGATTTTGGTTTGGACTTTTGTTAGCATTATTTAATTTACTAATATTAGTGGCTATAAAACTTATTGGAGCATCCAAAATTTCTAAGTCCAACCTTGAAATAATACCTTAAAAGCTAAAATTATGAAATTTTTTAAGAAATATTTATAAATTACATCACAATAAGTATATTTATATATTAAATATATCTAAATTTCTATATATGTAATGTCGGGTTGGTTTAGTTTCGGTTTGACTTTCTTTAGTTAAAACCAAACCAATTATGGTCGGGTTTTTTTTCCAACACCAAACCAGACCATACTCGGTTTTTTTTTCGATTTGACTCGGATTATCGGGTTGGTGTGGTTTGTCGGTTTCCTTTGTATACTCCTACTTTGTACTGAAGGAACTCTATATATTCCTATAAAGAAACCATATCGATTGAATTTAATGTAGTGGATCCAATGGATTATGTCAAAGGCTTCTAATACGAATGACATTATAATGATTTAAGGCAGTTTTCAGTGACCAACTCAAGAATTTACTGTAAAAGTGTTGCTGCTAAACAGAAGTTGACCGAAAAGCCGCTGGAGAAATTTAAAAATAGTGAAACTAGTTGTAAAAGCTTCAGCCGAGTTCCACACTAAAAAATAGGTTCTAAAAATACCACCAGAAACTTTTATGAAAATTATCGTTCACGCCGGGAAATCACAGTTCATGCCGAAAAAATATTGTTCACGCTGGAAAAATATAAAAGTAGTCGAAACTTGGTTTAAATTAGATGGGTAGCCTCAGAATTGAAGGGAGAACAAGCTGTCATGAAGAAACTTTGCGGGAAAAAATGGTCGAAAAGTGGCTCACGCGCTGGCGCGTCGGAAAATTTTCTTCCAGTGGTGCATGAGGGCTCAGAGGATGTTCTACCGAAGATTGTTCTAAGGGTTGGTCGCTGGAGGCTGATCTACTTCATAGTGGTATTGATTTTTACACAACACTGATGAATAATGATTTTTTTCTTGTGGCAGACCTGTGTTTGCCAGAAAAAGACTTCTGATTGACTAATTTCTCTTTCCGGAGTCGCTGGAATTTTTGCACAACGATAAATCTCATGATTATTTTGATACCATGTGAGAAAGCACGAGAGAAAAATATATTATTGCTATGATCAATTATAATACAATGAGTCATATTTATACAACATATATTCTACTCCTATTCTATGTGGGACTTGAACTAACTCATATTATTTACATAATCTATCTAAGAGAACTGAACTTCACTTTGAGGTAGGAGATTGGGTTTGTGAAGCTCAAGTCATACAGTCAAGCGTCAATTCGACTTCAAAGACAACACAAATGGGGAAGAAAGTACTTTGGTCATTTCGTGTTCTTAAAAGAATTGGAGAAGTGGCATACAAATTAGAATTGCCAATAGCTGCAAAAATTCACCCAGTCTTTCATATATCACTGTTTAGAAAATGTTCAGGGCAATCAGATAATCAGATTACACCACTTCACTTGACTGATTTTGTTCATGATGAACGACGTACCGGACTAAAACTTGAGGACATGGTTCCCATTGGAGATGGGGTAATGTTATGAATCCAGAATCACAAAATGAACCTGTTGATGGGGCTGACTAGTTGGGTGTTTGTGGAGTCCACAGAAGATGTTATTAAGGACAATATGGTCAGGGGCAAACGAGTGAGACAAATGCCTTCAAAGCTACGTGATTATGTAGTGTAAACTGGTGATGTAGTTATAGGAGTTGGTTATATAAGGGTGGGTAGTGGATCAGGAAAAGTTAGGTAAAAGATATTGAGAATATTCTCAAATCATCTATATCTCTGTAATTCTAATTCTCATCTCCTTTCAGTCGTTATCTCCTGCACTCTATGTTAATTTCATCATTGTAGTTCCCTTTGCATATCAAGTTGTTTCTGGTGTGGTTAAGAAGTATTAGTAGCAATTGCTATAGTATGTACTCTTTGAATATTGCAGTCAATAACAGTATTTCAACTCGAGCATTAGTTAGTTTGTGTCCACCAGATGCCCCTTTTTTCCAGGCTTGGACCAATCTAAACTTTGTTGGACCAATTAGAATAAAGCCTCTCACTACTCATGGTGAGAGATCTGCAGTGTTGTATTAATTCATTCAACAGTTGCATATTCGTATTCCTGTAAGCTCTCACATTATGCTATAAAAGGATCCTAGGCACTGAAAAACAAAAAATTCTGAAGAAAATATACTAACCTAATAATGATACATTTGACCAAAATTATAGCACAACCATCGAGAATTGCTGAATTGATATCATTGATTTATTCAACAAATTCAATCAACCACTAATTCTGATTTCTGATAAATACAACAAAGGACACAAAATCGACAAGTCACGCCAAAGGGAAAAAAAGGACAATCTAATACAATGATACAACACANGGGGGGGATGGAGACTATCTTTCTTCCTAGTTGTTCAAAACTGTTTATCAAAAGCCTGCTGCTTATTGTTAACTTTTTTATTTTTATTGGTTCATATAAAGAATGACAATGGCCATGAATAATGCACCTATACAGAAAGTAAAGGTTTAAATTCTCCCCTTCCTCTTCTCATCCAATGCCTGCACAAAAAAAGAGAGGTATAACTTAGGCAGCATTTTAATGAATCTATAGCACCAAAAAAAACTCCCTATGAAAGTGTAATGACTCAACCCATGTTTTGAGTTCTAGCATCTCATTCTTGATTTGAGACTTGGTACGTTCGTATAATGTTTATGACAAGCGAGCATGGATAGTTTGGACCCCAAGGGCTCGGGGAAGATTTAGAATTTTATCATTCTATTTGGAAGTTTAAAGAGTTTAAGTAGCAACCTTACCCCTGGATTCTAGTAATATACTTTTGGTTCATGTTTTGAAGCTTCTAATAAGTTTACATGATGTATTCGGACTTGTATGAATGTTCGGTTTAGGACTTGAGGGATTTGGGGGACGTTTCTGCACTATTGCATAAAAGTTGGAACCTTAAAGATTCTTTAAGTTGAATCGAGGTGTTGTTTTTGTTTGTAGCGCTTCGCTTCGTGTTTCGAGCCTTTGGATAAGTCCGTCCAGGATATTTGGACTTGTCAAGATGATTTGAAGGCGTCCCACGAGGCTCAAGTGAGTTTCGCGGTATTTGGAGGAAGATTAGGTGAAAGACCAGCCAAATCCGCAAAGAATGCAAACATGGCGCGCTAGTGCAATTTACCTGAAGTTTTGTGTAAATAGCCGCATTTCGTACTTTGAGTTCATTTCACCATTTTTGGAGCTAGGGAGCTCGAATTGAGGTAATTCTTTGAAGGATTTTTTATGTACGACGTTGGGGTAAGTTATTTTAACTCGAATATATGATTGTATCATGCATCTGCGTCAATTTTGTCTTAAAATCAAGGAATCAAAGAGGTGAAAAGGGGATTTTAGTCCAAACCTTAAGAAAAGTGATGAAGATTAAAAAACTGATTATTTGGATTGAGAATCTAATAACATATTTGAACTCGGGAGATTATGGATCACCGAGATTTGACCTTCGTTTTGAGATTTGACCATGTGAACCCGGGGTTGACTTTGACCTAAGCTTATCTTTTGCTTCGGGAATCGAGTCCTAGGCTTTATTTGACATCAGGAGCATTATTTGGGCTAGATCAGGCTCGTTTGATGGAATTGGAGCAAGGAAAAATTATTTTCGACAAATAGAGCTAGTCCAAAACCAAGGTCCTCACTGAGGGAATTTTTCCCAAAATTGTCTTGTTTTTTATGTGCTATGTATTTGGGGGTAATGTATATACGAAGTGACGAGCGTATACGTGGACATCATGTTATTTCCATGCTTGGGTAAAGGATAAGCTTTGTATGCTATACTTCTTTTAATTGTTGCATGATTACTTGAGCATCATATTCATGCTAGTATCATCTTATTAGCATTCCTGCACATGATAGTGTTATGTATGTTGGATTACATGAGTTACTCATTAGTTATACAGTGATCATGTCTAATCTTTGACTCATGACTATTTATGCATCTTTATATGCTAGTATTATGTTATAGGCATCTTTCACATGCTAGTTTACATAATAGGTTACATAAATGTCGAGTTACATGTTTTTTACACAGTCATGCACTGAACATATGCATCTTCATCTGCATAGGAGGTTCATACATAGATGTGATTTTGGCATGTTGAGTCATCCCTATGGTTTATATTGTGCATGTTGATTTGGCAATACAATCAGGGTGTGTGGATCCACGTTCATGTTTGTGTATGGATAGAACTCATCCCTTATGAGTCACCCTCTCATATTTCTCTCTCAGTCGCATACACGCAGGTTTGTGAGAAACTCACGAGTTTATGGTTTGTTGGACACTTTGAGGATATTGGTTGATGTAAAGTTCGAGTTTATATCATACATATGCAATCATAGACTCTTGTTGCATTTTATATAAATGTTGACCGGTGCATATCATTAGATATATGTTCTTCCATGCATTTCACACATGCATTGGGTTGTTTGTTGAGAAAGCATACATCATATTGCATGCTTAGACTGTGCATATCATTATATATGTTATTTTGAAGCATTGATACATGTATTGGACTTGCTTAGTTGAGATAGAGTGCATCGGTTCATATGCTCTATCTGTGCATATCTTTATATGCTTTGACCATGATTAGCTTGTTATGTTGCTTCATTGCACTTTTTCTTTTATTGCTATGTATATGAATTACACGTAAGAGAGTATTTTGACAAAACCCTTGCACTAGTTTGTTAGGGGAATAGTCATGGATACTTACAGAGTATGGTGCCGCTATACGCATACTACATTTTTGCACCTTGTGCGATGATACTGGAGCTGAGCGTTTATGGAGTTCTTGAGCGAGTATTGAAGATATATCATCGTTCTAGTTATGAGTAGTCATTTTGTTCATAGGAGTGTGTAGGACCTTGTATCTATGTTTTGTATATTTCAAATGGATGTTGCATTTGTTTTTCATGTCAGCGTATTCATATTCTTAGTAGCTCTGACTTATGACACCAATTCTTGGGATAGTTTGTAGTGAATTCTACATTTTAACCTTGTTATTTATATGAAGATTTTCCACTTAAGTTATATTTGTATTGATTGGTTCACCTAACTGGTTGTGTTAGGTGTCATTACGATTTACTGATAGAGTGGGATTTGGGTCGTAACAGAAAGTTAGGTTCACGTCAAGACAAAGTTGCCGAAAATAGAAATCTTTTCTATGCCGATGTAAAGAGTAAACAAGATTCTAATCCTTCAAGTTGAATTATAAGAGTAAAGCACGATTCCCACACTAAAATATTCAAATCTTGGCTGGCAAGTACTCAAATTGCTTTATGTCATAAAGAACTGATGTCAATGCCTATGATAACATTATTTTCCCCTTCATTTTCGTCCAACTCTAGACTTAGGGACTAAATATAAAAGATAAGAATGAAGCCAAAGCAGCACTATCATATTAACTAACACCGTGTTGAATTTGGACAAGGACAAATAGATGAAAACATGAAAACAAAGAATTCATATTCTGAAAAATAGAGGGCACGACACGAATAGGACAAGAAATTTGTGTGTTTATATGCAAGAGTACAATATAACAAAAAGAGAACACTGAAAAACATGCAACACATGCTTCAGACATAATTTATCAAACGTTGTTAAATTGTTTAACTATCTGATCTAAAAGCTTAAACTGTTGGAAAGAGAACACTTATATTTACATAAGTCTTCAACCCGCCCCTCACGTGTAGGCCTAATTCTTCTTCATGGGTCAAACACATGAAACTTTTTCATGATAACAGATGGCGGTGAGGCTAAAATTCAGAACCTTTGCCTGCTCTGATATCATGTTCAAGTGTGCGACTACCTCATTTAAAAGCTTAAGCAGTTAAAGAGAAAGAGAATACACTTTCATTTACTTATTTATGTCTTCAACAAACTTCATGAAATCTTAAAAAGGTATTAAGTGGCCCATATTGGTTGAGGAAATGGATTGTTGTCTCCATAAAAGCAAGAAATCCTCACCTCATGACATGAGTTAACTTTTGGGTTAAGTTAGGTCCAAAATTCATTTTTTAAACATGGTATTAGAGTCAAACCAGCCGTAATTCCGTTGCCAATGTTGAGACCCCTGTTATGTTTTCCATGCTTTAGCTGTCTAAATATGGTCTTGTTGGAGGGGGAGGAAGAAGGGGTATTAAGATCCCAAATTGATCGAGGAAATACGTTGTTGTCTCCTTAAATGATGTTGCGCAATCCTTGTCTGATGAACTAACTTTTGGAGTCAGAATAAGGTCCAAGGTCTCTTTATTTAACACAAGAATAGATAAAGATATTCAATATTCCAGAAAAGTTAGAAGATAAAGAGAGAGAATGTAAAAGTAGTTCCACGGCTTAAAAAAACACATGCTTGTTGTGAATTTAAAATCATTCGCAAATTTTCAGGATGTAGCTTTCTAACTTCTGAGTTAGAGCTTGATAAAAACAGGAATTTTGGAGATTCCATTTTCTGACAAGCTTCCTTCACTAAAAAGGATAGCCCATTTATTCCTTTAAAATATATTATTAGTCAGCATAAGATGGGTGAAGCCTGAAGGTGAGATTAGACGGGATTATGGTGCCTAAATGCAAGCAATTCAGATATCTAAGCTCATTTCAGGCGAGTGGAATGGGAGATAAAAATGTTACATATGGAATCAATATGAGATGGTTGAAACGGAGTAGTAGCACCTGGGTTTTATGTGCTAGAAGGATGCCTAGAAAAATGTAAGATAAGTTCTATTAAACATTTATAAGACCAGTAAAGTTATATGGGAGTGAATGTTGGGAAGTCCAACACAATCCACAGGATGTGTTTCATATAGATGCAGATGCTAAGACAGATGTGCGGTCATAGAAGATTAGATAAGATTAAAAATGACAATATTGGCCAGAAGGTGCAAATAGCAAATATTGAGGATAAAGTGAGAGAAGGTCGCTTGAGATGGTTTGGTCATGTCATGTGTCGCCACTGGTCTATAAGTGTAATAGCATGGTGAGTGGAGGTGTTAAAAGTGAACAAGGTAGACCTAAAATCACATGGAAAGAAGTTATCTTGAAAGACCAACAATTTCTTGGAATACATACAGACTTAGCGAAAAATAGGATATATATATATATATGGGTTTTGTTAACCTACTACATAGTTGTAGTAGGTTAGCATTGTATACATCTTTTATTTTCCTTTTATGTCCCTAAAAGTTAATTGACAAACATTAATAAGAGAGGTCTTTTTTGTCTTTTTGACAAAAATTAAAATCCATCACAATTTTGCACCGCTATCCCCTGTCCCTATCTCCCCAATTTCTCAACATCTCTCTCTCTTCTCTTCAGAAACTCTCCTTCTCCCTCCTCTCCGCAACGCCATAGCCATTCATGAAATTGAACTTATTAAGTTTTCTCCCTTTCTCCTTCTGTCATTATTCAAGGTGCCAAGTGGAATTTAAGAATGTGTGCCACCAATGTCAGTAAGAGAATCCAAAATACAATCTTCACCTTTCTATCCCCATTTTCTCTAAATCAGTGATACAAGAATGCCAACTGCAATTTTTAGATCTGAAGTTAGTGCCGTTCGAATTTGATTATATATTAATCTGATTGCTGAAGCTTCTTCTGAAAGAACTCCAAGGGAATGGTAATAATCAAGGAGAAAGTAATGACTTTGCCCAAATGATATTATAACTTCTGTTTCGTCTTTAGGTTGCAGCCATTTTATCAGTTTAATATTTTTTCTTGTTATGGTAACACCATTGACGTGAGAAGAAAAGAGGGGGAAGAGGAATTGGGTAGGCTTTAGTTTTTGGATAAAAAGACAATAAAACCCCTCCTATTAACGTGTTGTTAGGGTGCTTCTAGGGACATAAAAGGAANATATATATATATATATATATAGGCGATATTAATTAGTTGGGAATATGTTTTGATAATATCAATACATTTTAGCCCTATGCTTCTAGGATAGCCTTATCTCAGATTTTATGCCGATACAAAGTGCAAAGAACTTCTAATACTACTATTCTTTTTATTCTGTATCATGTTGGTCTGAGATGAATTGAAATGAAGAAACATGGTCATCGAGGACTCATATAGTCAACTCCAACTTGTTTGGAATTGAGGTATGGCTATTCTTGTATGCATTAGAGAAAAAACTTTAGCAAATAATAAAAGTAGTAGTTTAGTGCAGTCTAGTAAATCAACACAAGTGCCCATAGTTGACAACTGCGTTTATATTTTCAAGATTTCGGACATGATAGGTTTGGTGCTAAAAACTGTCCCACTGGTGTTAGTGTCGGACTACTGTACGACTCAAATATGTAACCCAACATTTGATGCCCACACTTTCAAGAATTTTAGCTAAGCATCAATATACAGGAAAGTTTCAATTGTACTAAAACAACATATATGTGCAAACTGATTAGTAAACGGAGAAATAGTAGCAAATCATATGAGATGGTTAACTAAAAAGGAAAAAGTTAAATTTCGAACCCATATATTTCAGAATATCGTAAAGGAAACACACCTTGCTTTGGAAGATTCTTATCGTCAGCACAAGAGTATCGCGCATTCTAGAAAGAAATAAGAAAGCAGCAACTTAGATTTCAATGATTCAAAGAACGAAGAGAATCAAAATCTGATTTAATAACAATATAGTAACTAAGGAAACAATATATTCCCCATACCAAATTCTTTGGTAACAAACAAACCCAAGAATACAAGCAACAAAAGAGATAACAGATTAGTTCCTCTCTTTTTTTTTAAATGATACACGAAAGTTGCCTCCCTAAAAGAAGTCACAACTTAATACCTTATCTTAAAATTAAAAAAGAAAAAGAAGTACACAACTTAATCTCATGAAATCACTAAAATTTAAGCTGAAAAAGGTAAAATACAGTGGGAATATACATATATATAGCTGTTGACAAGCAACTTATGACAGGAAATATCAATGCATGCTACAATCTGAAATAAATCCATATGCATCAAAGAACCATGTCTAGAATAGTACTGCAGAAATAATTAATAAATACTTCTAAACGATGAATATGTGGATGCTTTTCATTCATTTACGTGATAAAGAACACATAGAGGGTGCCTTTTTATCTACTACATATTACTCTTAAGACATGTGACACTAATGCGCTTTTAGAAAAGTAACTTTAAAGATAGATGAAGTGACAAAATCCTAATCTCTTCAACACAATCTATCACTGTTTGCCTCGGTTGATGCGGGTACCCCTAAGTTAGATATTCTCCTAAAGCAAGAATTTACGATTCAATACCACTTCAATTGTTTGCTTACAGCTTTACTTTTGTGTGACTAAGTAGAACCTACTAAGCAAAAAAATTGATAAGTTATATGCCTTGTGCATGATTATGTTATAGGACAACTAACATTTTTTCAATGTCATGTGATTTTAACCCAAAAAAGATGCTGAGTTAAAAGTTACCTTATATCATTGTTTGTACTGAAGGGATGTGAAGACCCATCGGAACATGTGATAACAAACTGTGTTGACAACCCACTTGGTATTTTGATCTGAACATAGAAGAGTCAGAATTACACTCAAATATTTGACAATAAATTAGGAGATAATACAAATTTCTGTTCGGTATATTCAAGAACTTTACCACCATACAGTTAAGCCTATTTTCTGTTTATTTGCTCCAATTATGAGTATCAATCACCCTCACACCCACCCACCCTTAAGTACAAGTAACTTGCCCATCCATTGACCGATAATGGTGTCTCCAGCATTTTAAAATTACTAAATTTTGCTTCCTGTGATTATCATTAGGTTTTTCAAGAACAATGTGACGAAACCACGATAAAATGGGCTTCTTTTGCTTGCTATTGTTATTTTTACTATAGTTTCTTTTTCTTCTTTTCTTAAGTATAAGCCATATGAACCTATCAACGGTTAGGCGGCGTGGCCACCAAACACAGTTAAGTAGGATACATCCTTTTCCTCCCTACAACAAGAAAACATAAAACTAATGTATTATCTCCTCCAACTAATAGCCTGTTATGACAATCAGCATCACTGAACCTCAGTTTATATGATGATTCGAACCTATGTAAGTATGTATAATTGTATCATTACATTTTTTATAAGTAATGAAATTCAGGATGCAACCAACAGCTCCTTTCCATTTGTAAAATTCAGAGAGCTAACTGCAAATCAAAGGTCAAGACAACAGTCTACCAAGTCTAGAGCTCCACATCTAGTGCTAGTTCCTTTTTTTCTATTAACGGAGTTAAAACTGAAAAAAAAAGGAGAGAGAGAGAGAGAGAGAATTGTAAGAAATATTCAGTCATATCCTCAAACCACTGAGGTGTAAATAGTGTACACACATGTGACATGCTTTAAATAACATACAATTATAGGAATTGAATCAGCCTAATGATTCTAATTAATCCAGATAATATTGCTTTATATCCATAACATTACCAAATATAAGTCCTTAATTACATAATATATACTTCTTAATTATAGAAGGAAGAATATATAGATGGTTTTCTAAACTTGGCAACAATTTTCACTTAGCTACCTCCACTATGGCTTGTAATTAGATACTTCAACCTCACTCAAAGTGTTCCTGTTGAGCACAACATGCTGACATGGCAAAAAAAGTGTATACTCGGCAACAATTTTCACTTGGCTACCTCAAATGAGGCTTGTACCTGCTAGATACTTCAACCTCACTCAATGTGTACTTATTAAGCACAACATCTGACAAGGCAAAAAAAAGTGTATCTCATCCCTCTTAGGAGCGTGGAAATTCCAAAATTACATATTTTTTTCAAAAGTAAATCCATTTTCAGAAAACCACTGGGCCTCAAACATATAGTACAGTCCAAACAGCGGCATACCAGAGTCAAAGACACCCGAAAAAAATTGGAGCGAACGATTACTGCAAACAGATACTCCACCCTCTGAAGGATTCAGAGAGCTCGAGATGACTTTTCTTGAAACCATGGATGAGGAAAGCATTGAAATGGAGAGAGGGGTTAGGAAGCGGAGAGCATTTTTCGGTAGTGGTTCACTGGTGGGTTTCTGCTAACAAGAAAGGAGGGCTCGAGAAGAGCGAAAGGTGGCCGACGGCGATTTCAGAGGTTGAGACTGGTGGACCGGCAGTGGCGAGATGATGAAAAGAGGAACGGGAGGGGGTAGAAGAAGGTGGTGGCGGCTATTTTGAGGGTGTTGCATTAGTGGTGGGTTAATGACGTTTCGAAGGTTTTCGACCATGTCGGTGGTGAAGGTCCTTTCTGGTGGTTTCTTTTGGGAATCTGATGGGTAGTCAGGTGATGGGGTCGCAGGTGGTTTCAACAGGTGATGGACAGGAAGGTTCGCTTCAGAAAGAGGGTGGAGTAGGTGGTGGTTCTGACCTGCAATGGAGAGGGGGAACTTGCCGGCGACGGGTGAGGGGGGTTTGCAGCACTGGGGGAGGGGTTTCTTTTATTAGAACAGATTTTTCTTTTTCTTTCTTCTGAAAAGTTATCTTTTTGGATTATCTAAACTCAAAAGCCACATGGCCTTGTCCCATTTGTTAATTCTTGCCAAGTCATCGCATGTGAGATTCACACATTACATTTTTTTTGCTGATTAGACAATTGTGCCCCATAGGCACTCAGTAAGTGAGGTTGAAGTATCTAATAGTTACAAGCCTCAGTTAAGTTAGCTAAGTGAATATTGCCAAGTTTAGGGAGCCGTGTATGTATTCCGCCATTATAGAATGTTCTTATCAAGAACTTTTCCAGACGTGATTATAAATAATGCTGGAATGTATACATACATAAGAAATTTTATGGTAACTATGGCTGCAGGTCTTCACATTATCATATATTTGCAGGAAAACATGAACTCAGCTTCTCAAGACCCATACTAGATGAGTACCGAGTAGTAAATTCTATTGATTCACTTTAAGTATTAATCCATCACATGCAAGCACATACCGACAACTCTTTGGAAAATTTTTCTGCTATTACAACAGCTTGTGTTCTATGAACCTTGACTTGGAAGCTTGATCGCCGCAAAAATATAGTCGCTGGTTCCCAGTTCTCAGAAGACTCGACCTGTTGGGCAGAACCAAAAAAGATTGTTCTGAGAGATCTCACAGGGTATTGACATCCATGATATCTAAGAAAATGATAACAACAGTTGACTCCCAAAAAAAAATAAAACATCGAACAACCAACCATGAATTTCATTCTAACAAAACATTTTATGAATTCAACTATATGAAAAGGCCTAAACTTATTGAATGATTTAAACTCAACAAGCTTAAATCCTAGCCAATGAATTCCTCATCGCTTTACTCATTTCTCTAATTTTTCTGCTAAATAGGGCTTATTATCCAGGTAGCTTAAAAAGAATGTTTCCTATAAATGTTTCTACAACACTACCTTTGACAGAAAGGATACCTGGTGCCTAAGGGTGTCCAAGAAGAAGAATTGAATGCCAGTAACTGTGAGGAGAGGCTACAGGTGCAAGAACGGGAGAAATAGAACATCTCTTGAGCCTATCCAGGAAAAAGTAATGTCATCAATACAATATTTTGTGTAACCCGTCTGGATATAACTCGCAAGGAGCAATAAAAGACGAGGAGCCTAATTTTGCTGCCTGCTGAATCTGGCTAAAGGGACTTGTTAAGCCTGAGAAGAAGTTAATAAGTTTTCACAATGCACATCCGGAACCTAATATAATACAGGTTTTCAGTACATATCATCTATTTGGGCAATTGGTTTTAAATGAAAGCAGTGCTTTCCCTTCACATCATAAACTTGTATATCCTGGATCACACTGCCATCCTCTACACCAGCTGAGCTACATTGAGCCCAAATGAGTTTATAATGAAAGCTAAAACTAGCAAAAGATGATTCAATACCAAGATGAAGTTGAACGGAAGACATTGATTACAAAAGGAACTGACAAGAGACCTACTCCAGCTAGACATGCCCTCGTTTATAAAACCATTTAATCCAGATGTAACTTCTTATTAATTTTCCAGCTGAAGTTAAAATTTTATTGATACTTTAGCTCTACTAACTAAGTGCACCATTATCAGTGTAGTTACCATCTTGCTGAATGATTAGGACAAAACCTTTTCCAGCATATGCATGTAAATTTGAAAAGGTACTTGTTTGAGAACGTCACATAGAGGTTCTTGAATAGGGAAAGAGTTTCCTCTCACATACTTCCTCAAGCAGCGGAACACTCAATGCCCAAGCAGTTACATGCTGTTGATTTCAGACTCCTCCGGTAGAGAAATCAATGCTCTCTAACCGGGATATGTCACGTGTTCGCTAACGATAGCTTAGCTATGGCCTCAGGTCATCTTTCTGCTCAAACAAACTAAGGCCTTTTAGTTTCGTTTCATCTAGTCTGTATGCAAGGAAATTTAGCAGTCTAATAGAAAACTCATTCATAGATGAAAATTGTCCAAATTTCGAACAGTTCAATAACTGGTGGCTTGATGTAGAGAGGCACTAGCTGGAATATCACTAGACATTCGTCAATAACTGGTGGGTGTATGTTCCTAATTCTTTTCAGCTTTAAGTGGGTAATACCAGAGAACTTAATAATAAAACATCCTGCAGCTGGAAAGGAGCAACGGTACAGAAAAGCAGAAGGAACTTATGGTATGCCATTCACTATGCATACTCTGAGGGGTCGTTTGGTACATGAGATAAGGTGGGATAAAGTGTGGTATAAAATTTTTACTATGTTTGGTTGGTGGTATAAATTTATCCCGGGATAAATTTATACCACCAACCAAACATAGTATAAACTTTGTCCCAAACTTGATCCTAGATATCTCATCTTATCCCACCTTATCCCATCAAACCTGGTATTATTTTATCCCACCTCTAGGGATTATAATCCCAGGACTATAATCCCGGGATAATTTTGTCAGCGTACCAAACGACCCCTGAGTGTTATGGAGAGAAGAATAGCAGATTGATGGCGAAAGAAGACCAGTGCACCAGCTAAAGTATTTTTGCCCTTAGTCTTTGTTCTCATGGTTAGCAAGTGGCTATAAGTGATATGGATCAGATACAAGACCTTATCAATTCCCTATATATCCAGTAATCACAAAGAGGCAATTTGTAATTTTCACGTGCATTCTCATGACCACTTTCTTGGTGCCGATGATTAATGAAGTACCTTATTCTACTAATTTAATTTGATGTTAAACTTGATTTTAAAAAACTAATTTAGTATGCTGTTCTCTATCAAAAACCATTTTAAAGCACAGCAATCCCACAAAGTTAATTCCTGAGCATCATTCTGCAACAATTTGTAAAGGAAAATTTGGAATAAATAAAACAAAGCATGTATTTGGATAAAATCAACCTACAAGCATTAGAACATTAAACGTGGCCTGGCCTTCAGAAATATGGGTATCTATCTCTGATTGCATGTCTGGGTCTGCAAATATCAAACCACTCATCAAAAGGAGTTGCAGCAAGCAACAAGAGAAAGCTGCTTTTGCTCAAAGTGGACAACTGAATCACAATTTTTGACAGTGAAAGCTAATTACCACATGTTATTTTGTTTTGATCATTGGCAAAAAGCCTGACAAGTTCCCCCTGACAATACCAAATATTAGCACAAAAAATCTACAAGATAATATGCAATAAAAATTTATTGTACAAACACACAAAACTAAGAACAATAGATAGAAAACGATTAAGATCCATAACAAGATCATCTTTGAATTAGCAATGACCAAATAGACAGGATGCTCAACAAAAGACACAAAATCAAATTAACGGCTTAATAATTTGAAGTATGGTTAAATTTCTATTAGATTATGTTATTGTAGAATCTTTGGTCATGTCAATTTTAGGTCTTAAAAGACAAAGATGTACTGTAAAACAAAATAATCAACTCTGCTAGCATGTTCATTCAGGTAATACTAATGAAAAGAGTAGATCAATTCTTTGGTACTTGACAAAGAATTCACAGTAGCACAATGTTGGGAAGACAATAGCTGGAATATAAAATTCAGAGGAGACATAAATGACTAGGAGCTAAATGAGATAAATGAATTCTTCAGTATACTACCTACGACTGCATGCCTAACCACTAATGAAGACCGTTTGATATGTAGAGGCCACAACAAAGGGATTTATACTGTCAAGACATGTTACAACATATTCATGAAAGAAGTAAATCAGTTTCTTATTGGTCCCCGGAAGCAAATCTGGAAGTCGAAAGCTCCTATGAAACAAAGGGATTTATACTGTCAAGACATGTTACAACATATTCATGAAAGAACAAAATCAGTTTCTTATTGGTCCCCGGAAGCAAATCTGGAAGTCAAAAGCTCCTATGAAAGTTAGTTGTTTAAAGTGGTTGGTGGCTAAAAAGCTTGTTTGACTCAGGACAATTTACAAAGAAGGGGATTCCAGATAGTTAACAGGGCTATATGTGTAAAGAGGAGGCAGAAACTATCAATCATCTATTCCTACAATGCACAGTTGTGGCAATTATTCTTGAACATTTTGGGAAATAAAACGGTGAAGCCAAGATCTACCACTGAGTTACTGTCATGCTGAAATAAAAAGGGACTATCGAACCAAATGAAGAAGGATGGGAATACAATACCGACAGCTATTAGGTGGTGCATATGGAAAGAGAGAAATAGGAGATGCTTTGAGGGACAGGACAATCCATTCTTGAAGATCAAATCAGACTGCATTTTGTTGATATCTTAGGGTGTGAACAGGATTGGATAGATGATAGTGAAACCCTACTAGAATTCATGGATTCTTTTGCATAGACACACAGGGCGTTCTTTTTTACTCTTCTTTGGTAAGGTTGATTATTTTATACAACACAAAAGCATAGAAACATAATCGTTGGAAAAGGAACCTATTAAGGGAAAAGTTCAATTATGCCCTCAAAAGAAACATTCTAATTGTTTCAAATTTATATTTACGATACAAATATTTTCCAAATCCATAGTACTTCGACCAGCATAATTAAAAGAGTGGCGTCCTTTCTGCAAAAGCATCCCGCATTGGAGTCACTGCTCTAACTATTACAAGTATACCAGCATATCATAGATCAGATACTACTGTCAACTAAATACAGAGAACTCGAAATGATTGCAATAAATGGGCCATAATTCCATCCAATCCAATCACATAAAAGCGTGCTAGAACGGACACATAAGATGCAGCCCAAGATTTTGGGTGAATGGCTGAGTGAAAAGTAACTAATTTGAAATTCAAAGCGACTTGAAATCTGCGGACCAAGCAGTTTCAAAAGTCAAATATTTCCTAAAGATACATATGTTTTATAGCAAGGAGGTTGCATTATTTCCCACTTTAATTGGTAGCACACAATTTCTTGTTAGTATAAATCAAAATAGAATAAAATTTAAGGACAGGGAGAGCAAGATCAACTACCTGATGTCCCTGGTCATCCATCGGTATGCATTCAACAGCTATAAGTTTATCAATGTCATCAGCAGTAACTACATATTCAGGATTTGTGGCACCTGAAGATTATGAAAGATGACAGTCAAAAAGTAGATGTTAAAGCAAAACAGTGGTGGTGTTTAAGGCAATCTCTTTATTGTTGTACACTAAGACATATAAAATAAATAATGACAAAGAGCCATGAGAACCTCTGCATAAAGGTTAGACTTACCTTCAATATACTGCCTTGTACCATCAGGATAATGACGGACCCACTGACATTTGGAAACAAAAGATTGGGAAAAAATACTTTAGATATCAGCGTGTAAAGCTCCCATAAGGATTAAAATTGACTACCATACAGTAATTAGACATATATTACCTGGAACATACAAAGAGAAGTTCCACGTACAGGAAACCCACAACCCAAAATTCTGCATCCTGGTTTAGCTTCTCCGATTATTTGAAAATTTTCTATTCCAGGACTTTCCCCTGTGATAGAACTTCCCATTAGGAGCCATACAAGTTTATGCACCAACCTTAAAGACAAACAAATGTGTTACCTTCTGAACTAATAGAACCACCCATCTCATTTCCCATAGGAGGATTATGACGGTTTTCATTGGTGCTCTCCTCAAATCTCTCATTCACCCCATTTCTATCAAACAAGTTATCTTTACTGGGAAAGGGAACATCCCTGCAGTCTCAAACTGTCAGAGCCAAAAAAAAAAATTGCAAACTCTAGTAATAGAAAAAACTCAGTCACAAACTCATCAACACTAGCTTAATCATTGGTCAACTAAACTTCATCCCAGCTTGTTCATTTCAATCATAGACCTTCTTTAAAGTGAGGCTGACTGGGTAGTATCTAATAGGTGGGGATGGGGAAACTGGTACCTGGACACCTCTAGATTCACATGCCAGTTATTCTGGGGCAAACAGTTATCAAGGAATAGCAGCACAGGGTCATCACTTGCAAGTATGGGGTATATAAGGAAATTCAATAGGCAATAAGAAAGCAGACCCTCTATATGGAGATTGTTAGGAAGGGATAGAATTCATTTAAAATTATCTTCCTCTTAGATGAAAGCAGAAGAATGAAATTTAGGGAACACCAATGGTCCCATGATGCTACGCTTATACCAATGCCCACCACTTAAATAACTGCTCCAAGAGCATAAGGATCAGCCGTTGGTGACCAAGACGGATAGTGGTCAGATGTGCAGGCCACCAGGTTTCACAAAGCCTGTGTCAAGATTGAATAATAGACCATGTGACTTAATTCTTTCAGATACTTTAGAACTGAAGGGAGACTAATTATGATTTTGCAGAGAAGTTGGCTCTTTTCATGTGAACACTAAGAAGTTGTTTGCCTAAGATTATAAGCTGGTCAAATTAGTTTATAATCATTTATTGGCTTATCTATGCATTTTGTAAACATCAAAAGTGCTTTTAAACCAAAATTAGCCAAAAGTCATAAGTTGGTCACCCCCAATTTGGGTTTTCCAGCTTATAAGCACTTTTGGTTTGACCAAGCCTTTTCACGATTTTGTCCCTAATATCTTTATGAAAATGTTGGTTTATGTTTAGTTAACAATGGCATGCTGAAAATGTTGGTTTATGTTTAG